TAATTTACTATTAACATGTTAATTATTTTTATAATGGTGTTTTTTAATATTTAACCTAATGCAATCAAATTCAGCAAAATTATTTAATAATTATACGCAACAACCAAAATGATTTATACTGAAAATTGATCTATCCGTGTTTCTAAAAAGGCATTCTTTAAAAGTAAAGTGTATAAAAATGTTTTTCTCTTTTTTGCTGCTGTTAGCTAGCACTTGGTTCTTTGCTTATACTAATGTCAAATTATATTTGAGAGCTTACTTAAATGAAATACAGGGATTAACTCGGATAATTCATAGGTATTGCGACTTAATTGTTTTCATAAATATTAGTGGTACTTCAGCTGTTTCGTTTTCTTCGCCTCGTTTTTAGTGCTATTGGCGCCTTACCTGTTGCTTTTTTCTTACATATATTTATGTAAGTTGAATACTGCCTTTATACGTATACGAAGTAAAAATTAAACTCAATATTTCATTGAAATATAAAGTTTTCGAGAATTATGATCACTTTGTAATAAGATTATATTTATGTGTAACTTATTTCTTTAATAAATAATCTCAACGATTTTTATTTAATTTGTTATTTATTGAATGTCATTGAATCTATAATACTGTGTAAGGGTTCAGAAATCAGATCAAGTAAATTCTCTTTGCATTTTCTCTCATAGTCTTGACATTGTTCATGCACTCCATCTACTTCTGCTTGATAATATGATTTCGGCAAGTTTTCTTTCATCGATGTGGTTGGCCTGTTAAAGATTTTATTAATTAAATCGATTTTAATATGTATTTATTATATTGCAAATTACGTAAATATTATATGCATCACACTCCCCAAAACTCCATTTATGTGTCCTAGTTGAGAAGAGTTCGTTTCACATATCAAACGTAACAAACAGGCTTCACCATTATATCCACTTCTGAAAAGAAATTGAGATCAGAAAAACAAAAGTTGTAGTATTTGATTTGAGAAATGTAGATTTCTGATATATATTGTTTACGTTAACTTTTTTGTTTTTTTTTTAAATGCATACATACAACTCATACTTTTATTACCAATTTATATACCAAAATATGTATTGCTTGCCAGAAATTACAATTATTTCCTAATTTTAAGCTAACAATTAGTTTTCAAATATATAGAATCGTTGATCTGTTGAAGCAACCCAGTCAAAAACATAACAATAGACGGATCGAATTGCTTAACTATTACTCGTTTACTGTATTGCTCACCGTTCGAAAAAGTAGTAAACTAATTGAGCAATATCTGCCAAATATGGATGATATAGTGTAATTTCTGAATTTTCTACTTCCAAAAAGTTTTAGCAATTGCATTAATATTTGGCCTAGCATTTTAACAAATTATAAAATTAAAATATATAACCAAATTAATTCGTAAAAGTAAATGTAGAAAGGATTCGAAATTAAATTAGCCTTTTCAATTAACTTATAATTGTAATGACATCTAAATATATAATAATTGCAGGGTAATATGAATCTTATAGACGCAATATAGACAAAAAATATCTTTTTGTCAATTTAGATTTTAAGTAAATTTTATAAATTTTTGTAAGTGTTATACGAATTTCGTTGAATCAATAATAAATAATATCTAACTCTATATCAGTATATGGAAATAAAATGACTTGTCATTAAAAAATTTGTCTCTGATATATTAAATTAAAAAATTTTCCTCTTCTCTTAGCTTTTTATTCTTGTTCTGTACTACAACTACTTTTACACTTAAGTTCCATATCATTTATTAATATTTATTTTTCAAAAATATTATATATGAAATAATATGTATTTTTCAGTAACCTATTAATCTTAAAAATTTGACCTAATAAAATTCAAAGTGATAATCAGCTCTAATTAAATATTTGTGTATATTTCAAACGATGAGAGAGAAAGTAAAAAACATTTTTAATATTAGCTTTAATGTAATACAAATACAATAGTTTGCTGCTTATTAATTAATTAATAAAAAATATGAATCAAATATTATTTATTTTTAATAAAACCGAAAATTGACCGATCGATTTTGATGAAATGTTTATTTACGAGAAAAAATCTTCATTATATTTTGAACCAATAAGTGGTACTTTCGATAACAATCTCTTTTGTAATAAGAAAGACTTATTATTAATTATATTAACTTATTTAATAATTATTAAAAAATTAATATATCGACACAAGCAATCATCAAAATAACGTCGAGACAGCGCTGTGAAAGTGTTAAAATTAAATGAGATGTACAAAATCCTTTAGAAACAATAGAACAATATGAAGTATAATATCAATTAAAAATAAGATATTATTTTGAAATCAGCATAATTAATTAACATAAACTATATTTATTAATTATTATTTATTCTCATCATAAAATATAATTCAATTTTACCTTTGAAATTTATCCTTCAAAATATGATAAAAATCCGTACGTGTTAAAAGAGACTTCCTCTTTCTTGTCTTTTTTTCATATTTAGTTTCATTAAGGGTAGTCTCTTCTATAGAATTTAATAAAGTCGTTGTTTCTACTTCTGAATCTTCTGGATCAGATTCTGCTATAGTACAATTAGTACATTTATCATCATTGAGGCTACGTACATCGAATAAATCTTCTTCTGCTGCTTCGAGCTAATAAAGTTAAGAATAAAATAAATATATAATTAAAAAACAATTTAAAAAAAACATAATTACTAAAAATTAAAAATGGATGTTTTATATACACAGAGTTTTAAAAGTAAACCGAGCTTGTTTGATTTAATGAAGATTTTCTTCGTTATCCAAACATTTAAAAAAACTTCTTCAACTTGTTGGAGAATAGTTGTATTTTTCTTTTTGAAGGAATTTAATCATTTTTCAAGTAAAATAAAATTTCTCTAAATGAAAATAAACAAACAATTTTCAAATTATATATTATTTTTTAATATTTTGAAAGATACCACTGACAACTGCAATAAAAATCATTTTTTATTAACTACGAAAGTGTTAAGATTATGCATTAAATATAGCTCGATTATAATCCATTTTAACAATTCATATTTGAGGATTTGATTTCAGTCTATTTAATTATTTGTTTAAAGTTCATAAGACATAAATTTTCTTACTTATGTATTGTTATAATAATTTGATCGAAATAGTATAAATAATGGTTGATTTTGCGTACGTGACAACTTACATACAAATGCTCTGGAGCATTTATCCATAGAGAGGATGCTAATTCTTCTTTATGCTATAACAAAAAGACGACCATTCAAACCCAACTTTTTTGTAAATAAGCTAGGGGTCTTCCTCAATCTTATTCAGAATTATTTATATTATAGATTTTCTTTCGGACAGGTTATTCAAAGAGAAAAATATACATAATTCGACAGTTGATTGTAGTCAAGTATGTTGGTGACAATCAGTATGTTGATGTATGTTGGTCATCCAAAGAGAAAAACGATGTTCATTACTCGACAGTTGATTGTAGTCAAGTATGTTGATGACAATCAGCACAAATCTTTGCAAAAACCTTTGAGATATTTTTTGTTTATAGTAGAACATTGTTCAGTGCAGTTAATTTTCACGACATTTTAATCATCATAATTGGTAAAATCTTCTTCAATTATCAACTAATCTGTTATCCATCAAAGAAAAACAAAAAGAAGTGCTAGATGCAACTAATTGTTTTGTGGTTATTGAACTATAAAGTCAAGCAAGCATAAAAACGGCGAATACTTTTTGCCCTACCCAATATATGACTTGTTATAAAAATTATCATACAAAAAATATACATAAACCGATATGTGGATAGATGATTTACTTACCGCATAGGGTGGAAAATTCCATGTATAAGGCAAATTGTAATTTGCCTCAAAATTATATGAAACGAAAATATTCCGATGAGGTAAATCCAAGGGAACAGCAATTGCTGCAAAAATCTTAAACCAAACATAGTCCTTAATTACTTTTTATTACTTAAACCTTTTTTCATTATTATTTAGCATTAATTAAATTAAATGTTTTTTTTTTAATATTTAACTTCACATACACCATATGCACTGTTAGTAGGAAACCAAAGCGAACCTGAGACTTCTTCATAAGAGTCAATCGCAAAAATAAAAAAAAATAAAAATTTAAAAACGTTTTTCATTTTCACACTCCGGAGTAACCAAACAAGACCACGATTAATTCAGAACTGAATGAAATTTCTAAAGAATTTTGTTAATACCATGAAGAAGAAATATAACGAAAGTTTAAAGTTAATTAAAAAACCTGTAAAATTTGTTAATTAATTTTATAAACAAAAAATTGTAACATAGATTAATTCCGTATAGAGAAAGTAAAATAAAAAATACGAAAAAAGTGAAAAATGACTTTTACTGCAAAATAATTTTTTTTCTCTATATTCCTTGAGACAACATCTTAATTGAATATAGCAATTCCTCACTAAATAATAAAATAGACTGTAAATTTATTAAAAAAAATAAGTAATATAAAGAGATCGGGGGAATTAATCAATCTATCCCGAGCAAATTTATCCAGGATAGTGGGAATTATTACGGGACACTGCCCGTTGGGAGGACATGCCGTGAGGCTCAACATCAGGACCTCCTTACATTGTAGGCATTGCATGGAGGATGATGAAGAGGAATCACCAACACACCTTCTGCTACAGTGTCCTGCCTTCGCAAGACATAGACTATCCTATTTAGGGTCGCACTTTTTCTATTCATTAAGAGAGCTAGATTCTATTTCCATAGCTCGTGTCAATGGCTTTGTAGCCAATACCAAGTGGTTATAGGGACAGGTGACAAATTCTTAGGGTATCACAATGGACCTCATGGTCGAAGTGAGTCTTCGGACGGCCCCAGTAACCTAACCTAACCTAAGTGTCGAACATTAAGAAATGTTTCAATTATATCAATAATTATTTGGGCAATTAACATTTCAATTAATGATATTTATATAAATAGTTTACAATACATTAATAATTTGAATTTATTTAATATAAAACAATTATTAAACTAAAATAATTATAATTATTTATAATTCATATTTCAAGTCATGGCTAAACTTCTATTATTAGAACCACGTGTACTTAACTTACCATCCCCTCGTTCAAAATTTTTAGTGCACGTCGTTAAGTACTCTTTTGCAGTTTCACAATTGGGAGTTTTATTCCAACTCGTCGATGGACAATTAAAAAAAGACTTGTTTAGTGCGCACTTGGCATAGGATGCAGCAATTGGAGAACATTGTTGAAATGGATTTTTCCCTTGAAGTGCCACCCGACTGGATAATTTAAATCTGTTATTTTTTTCAGAAACAGGTGTTTTACATTGATCAAAGCTCAATAGAAGTACGTCAACGAACTCCGGATTATTAGGAATTATATTCTTCAACATAATACGTAAATTATTCACGTTCAATTGATCGTTCTCTAAAGATTTACTTTCTGTGAATAAGCAGTCTAAGGCACACTAAAAAATAATGTAGTATATTTTAAAGTACTGTCTGAGGAATATATAACGGAAAAATATATACCATGCTGGGAACATTATAGTTAGACTGTTGATGTCGACTACATTTTGGATAAGAATTCAAATTTAAAGTTGGTAATTTACAGCACGACATAAAATTCTGCAATTCATATATTTTTAATCGATTAACTATTAATTCAAATAATTGCGAGTAGTTTCGCTTAAATATACAAGTATATTAACATAAACCTTTATTTACTATAGACTTACCGAAAAATTAGGTTTTTGATCGCAGTTCACAGCACCTTCGCCTATTCCTAAAAGAAAATTAATTATAAAGTAGAAATATAAAACACGGAACGCAGAATATAAACCCGCCATTGTACCTTTTGGCATGCAAACGCATTAAACCGATCATTTTATAGAGATTTCTCTAATGGATTAAAATAATTTAATTATTAATAACTATTTAAATTCATTGAATTAAATATAATATCGCATTTAATGTAGCGTAAAACTAATGTCATTAGACAACATATTGTCCAATAGCGTTTAAGAGTAATAGACTATTATAAAAAATAAACAGTGGTGTACTGGGATTGAAATTTAGAATTGAGAGGCAGAAGCATAAAATCAAAATTTCATTCATATAGAGTATTTAGTTTTCAATATTGAAGAATACACATCAAGAGAAGAATCCCTAAGTTTAAGATTAAGTTAAAGTGGCAGTTTTATGTACTAAAGTCCACTTTACTTGAAATAATGTACCATTGTCATACCACGAACATTGTTTGTAAATTAAACCGGATTTATCAGCATAAGTACAACATTCGTTTAAAAAAACCCGACTCCACCTATCAAGTAAGAATAAATCGGCTCGATAAGTCAATGAACTTAGATGTGTCCCTAATTTAGTCCTAGAGGCTAAATTACATTTTCTATTGACTAGTGATGGGCACTGACACATCTCTCAAACTCAGTTTTCTTCTCCTCTGCAGAAACTCAACTATTACAAAACTTATTATAAGATAGACCATGTCTGAATGTCTTCCTAGCACACAGTGGTCTGTGAGTAATATCGTAGTAGTGGGTTGGTTACGCTTGGATTAGACATTATAACTTAAAGAAGTGCCAGAATATATATGAAAGTTTCTAGATAGAATGCCAATGAATAAATTGCTAAATGTCAAATTCAGCTGTATAATGTTGTACCATGAATGCTACAGATTTAAAATTGATAACACATACCAATAGCCGTCCACTACTGCAATCAGCGCAAGTAAAATAGATACAACAGATAACTCATAGAGACGAGTGTGACGAGTTCGGCAATATTATTATAAGTTAAATAACTCAACTACCTTTAAGAGCAAAATGTATCACAACGAAATCTGAAGAAGAGAAATGCCTGTAGAATAATTAAAATACTTAAAGGTGAAGGAGACAAATCTGCAGACATCAGTTGTTAACTAATACGGGATTACTTGACTTGTAAGCATCGGATCGTTATTTCACCACCTTAATCATAAAATCGACTACAGCTACAGCTAGTGTACCGCAAAAATAAACCACACTACAGAATTGTCTATTGATCAGTTACTTAAAGGACATCAATTGCTAACACCCTTTGATATGAATATATCAATGGATACTATAAACCAATAACTCCTATAACATATGAAGACAAGTATACTTCAACGAAAAAAAAAGGTAAGAAAATATGTAGATCATATACAAATAGTATTAAAGGGACCTATAACATATCACAGCTGTACATCAATGTCGTTAACGATGCAGGTTATATTTTTCAAGGTTTTATAAAATGAACTCTTTACTGATGAATCGAGTCAAAAGGTGTTACTAGAATCTGAAGAAGATTCTGAAAAGTTTGCTAAGCCCACCACTGAGGTGAGTCGCGTTTTTATAACTCGAGAAATAAAGATTTTTGATATTCAATTTATCACTTGAAAATTCACCATTCTGCAAAGACTTTTTTCACTGTAAAGTGTCGTGGATGTAATAGAATAAAAAACTATGGTTCTCGGGTTGTATATACATATATTTCAAATGGTATAACTTATTTTCTTGATTAAATGTATAAACAATAACGAGTTACATTGTTCATCGTTCTACCAAAGAATGGAAAAATATAAATATGCCGCCGCATTATTTTAATTAAAAACTAGTGCACAATGAAGTTTATCTGACCTAATTTAACCCAATTTAACGAGATAGGTCTGTTAAAAATAGAATGACACATCATCTATTATTGTCCGGCTTTGCTCTGAGTCAATGGAGAAATTCTGAGGCTTCTGCTACCATCTGATATTAGATTTTTTTAATAAAGACTTTACAATCTTCATTTACAATACTAAATCATTTAACATAGTTTCACTGTTCCATTTTACTGTGAGTTTAAAAATTTCCTACATTCCATTCAATTATATTCTCTTCTCTTCTATTCTTATTTTTCATTCTGCTCCATGGTTTAACCATGGTTTGCTTTGGATTAATAGAACAATTCTAAAGCTCCTGCTACCTTCTGATATCAGATTTTTTTAATAAAGACTATAAAGACTAACTACATAACTAACAGCTTAGTACAAGAATGCGTAACGAAGCTCATGGAATGTGCTCATGGAAATGATGTGACGATCATGTGGGTTAAAGGACACATCGGTATTGAGCAAAACGCGAAGGCAGATGAACTTGCAAAGCAAGGATCAGGCCATAATTTCTGTGGCCCGGAGCCCAGAATACCATTGGGGTACAGCATGACGGCAGCCTATGTCTATAAGTGGATAATCTCACTTCATCTTAATAGATGGAGAGAGTTGAGCACTTGTAGACAGACCAAACTCATGTAACCTAAACCGTGGGCCAGAGGAGCGATAAAGGTGCTTAGCTATTCGCGGAGCACCCTAAGCTGGCTGACCTCACTAATTACTGGACATGGCAACTTCAATGATCACCTTAAAAAGATAAATCTTGCTGAGGAAGACACTTGCAGACTATGTCTAGAAGAAAAGGAGACAGCGGTGCATATATTGTGCCAATGTCCAGCACTGGCAAGTAGGAGGAAGACTGTCTTGGGACACCATTGGGTTGGTGACGACTTGGCAGGAAACCTCAAGCTAAATGAGCTGCTTGCATTAACAAAAGATGTAGTTATGCGAACGGAAGCCACTCCAGCTTTAACTCAATAACAACATCCGAGAATCGAAGGACGAAAAAGGAACCAAGTCGTTTCGTGGTCTACTTCGACTAATCCTTCACTTCATTGGGGCCACTTGTTGGACAGTGCGCTGTCCCAACGTCCCACCATATAATAAAGACTATATAGTCTTCATTTAAAAGACTAAATCATTGAACATTGTTTCACTGCTCCACTTCACTGTGAGTTCAAAAACTTCCTACATTCCATTTAATTCTATTCTCATCTCTTCTATTATTATTTTTAATTCTGATCTGTGGTTTTGATACTTACCATTTAAATATTTAAAGTTAAGTTTTCTTGCTCTTTAACTATATTATATCATATATACAATGATAAAATTTTAAGTCAATTTTTAATAATTGTCTTTAAAACAGAATTTAATAAAAACTTTAATTGTTTCCAGTTTTATTTCTGGAATTCACTTTCAAATTCATGTCTGAACTTCTATTAGCACCACGTACAATTAACTTTCCACCGCCTCGCTCGAAATTTTTGGCGCACGTCGCTAAGTACTCCTTTGCAGTTTCACAATTTGAGGTTTTATTCCAACTCGTCGATGGACAATTCAGAAAAGAATTTTTGAGTGCACAATTAGCATATAGCGAAGCAACGGGTGAGCATTGTTGAAAGAGACTTTTTCCTTGCAGTGGTATGCGACTGGATATCTTAAAATTTTTAATTTTTTCATACACAGGTGTCTTGCACTGATCAAAGCTCAATAGAAATACATCCATGAACTCCGAATTGGAAATTACATTCTTTAACATAGTACGCAAATTACTCATGTTCAATTGATCATTATCCAAAGCTTTGCTTTCTCTAAACAAGCAATCCAAGGCACACTACAAATTAATATATTTTTAAATATTGTCTGAGTAATATAAGGGAGAAGAACATATACCATGCTGGGAATCTTATCGTTAGACTTTTGATATTGACTACAATTTGAATAAGAATTGAAATTGACAGTTGGTAGTTTACAGCACGTCATAAAATTCTGCAATTCATATATTTTTAATCGATTAACTATTAATAAAAATTAACATATACCTTTATTTACTATAAACTTACCGAAAAATGAGGTTTTTGATCGCAGTTCACAGCACCTTCGACCATTGCTAATAGAAAATTAATTATAAAGTAGGGATATAAAGCACAGAACGCAGAATATAAACCCGCCATTGAAGCTTTTTGCATTCCAATGCTTTAAGCCGACCATTTTATAGCAATTTTTATAATAAATTAATGGATTAATTATTATTAATAACTATTTAAATTCATTGAATTAAATTTTAATATAATAATAAATGTAGCATGAAACTAATGTCATTAATTAAATATAGTTGGTGATAAAGCAACAATGTAACGTACTTTCCAATAACACTCTACAATAATTGCATAATAAAATATAATTACATTCAAAAATCCCTAATATTGCTCTTATATTCTTTAAATTAGTACTACTACTTAATACTACTATTAACAATTATTTTTAAATTAAAGATAATGTAAATCAAAACAAAAAGTAGTTAATAAAGTGATTAAACTACCTGTCGAACGTCCTTAGCTGGTCTACCCTCTAATATATTGCACGATCAAGAACGTTAAAACACTCGTTATGGATCATGATGGAGTACGCTTCATAAATAACAATTATTTACATAGTATGTGTATGTCTCTTTAAGGTCAATAATATGATACTGTTATTAATA